CAATATGCTAATTCAATTTAAACTTACTACATTACCTCTTCCTGTATAATAACCGTATTCTGTGGCCGCACGGGTCTTTGGGTAATTACGACAGTATTTGGAGGCGGTGGTGGCGGAGTTGGAGTGACATAGGTCACACTAGTGCTACCACCTGGTGGTGAGACGTACATGGTCGAAGAAGCCTGTGGTGGCATAGGATATGGATAACCTTGTGTATAAGGTGATGGATAACCAGGATTATAAGGAGGGGGAGGGTTTATTCCAGTTGGATAGCCGCCTGGATAATCTAAAAAACAATAAATATGCACATGTATACACACAAATATCCACACACTTCAAAATAAGTTTTATTAATCTTGGTATATGATAATTATTTATAAATTTACGGTAAAATCGTACTGAAGAAGATAAAAGCCAGTAGAATCTATAGTACAATTATGTATAAGCTAATTTACTAAAACAGCAGGATTTTAATTCTTTATAATTATATTTTCCACTTATTATTATTATTATCTGGTAATCATTTTAGCTCTTTTCGTCCAATCTGTGTAGTTATTTTACATAAAATAAATTTGTTTGTAAACACGAGATTTCAAGTCAAGAAAGGATTACATTTAGCTTTTTTCTATCCAGTGTCTCAGCTGTAAGCCTGACGACTTATACCGCTAAAAACTGGGTTTCGATACCAGTGGTGAGCACAGCACAGATAGTCCATTGTGTAGCTTTAGGCTTAACGACAAACAAACAAACAAAATGTCTCCATTGACTGGAATCTTTAGATAATTTTACTAGGCGCTAAAAACTGGGTTTCGATACCAGTGGTGAGCACAGCACAGATAGTCCATTGTGTAGCTTTAGGCTTAACGACAAACAAACAAACAAAATGTCTCCATTGACTGGAATCTTTAGATAATTTTACTAGGCGCTAAAAACTGGGTTTCGATACCAGTGGTGAGCACAGCACAGATAGTCCATTGTGTAGCTTTAGGCTTAACGACAAACAAACAAACAAAATGTCTCCATTGACTGGAATCTTTAGATAATTTTACTAGGCGCTAAAAACTGGGTTTCGATACCAGTGGTGAGCACAGCACAGATAGTCCATTGTGTAGCTTTAGGCTTAACGACAAACAAACAAACAAAATGTCTCCATTGACTGGAATCTTTAGATAATTTTACTAGGAGAAATCTAACGGTACGAAATGTCCAGATCTAAAAGATATAATCCATGTTTAGATATAAGACGAAATGTGGTAAGAAAGGAAGTTTTTTTTTAACAGTTATTACTTTAATTTGGTTTGTTTTGAATTCCGTGCAAAGCTACAGGAGGGCTATCTGCGCTAGCCGTCCTTAATTTAGCAGTGTAAGACTAGAGGGAACGCAGCTAGTCATCACCACCCACCAACAACACTTGGGTTACTCTTTTACCAACGAATAGTGGGATTGACCGTCACTTTATAACGCCCCCACGGCTGAAGGGAGCCATTTCTTTAGTAGAATAATAGATGTCACAACGCAAAACTTTTGATAGTGCGTGTAATGAAGTAAAAGATACAACACGTTCTGCTGTTAGCACATTTGTGTGTGTGTGTGTGTATTCATACACAAAAATACACACACACTTAAGCCTGTAAACGTATTGTTTCAACGTTGACAAGTAACAAATATTTCTGTATACTTACTGTAACTCATAGTTATATCCTTCTGGGTCTAATCGGGATCAAACAACTTCGGTCAGTTCTGAAAACAAAGTTAAAAACGTATGTTAATCAATAGTTTGACGTAACTATATTACAGAACGTTCATTTCAAATTGAAAAATAACAAAAAAAATATATGTTTAATTTTTTCCCTACTTTAGAACAAAATACTCTGGCATACAACTGAGTCTTTTATATTGTAGATACATACCTATCTATTTCAATCAAAAAACAATAATATTATAATCTATAATATAATAACAACAATTTTGTCTTCAAACAACATAACTGGTTAGGGAAACAAATACCTCGCCTCACCTTTTAAAGTTCCACCGTCTTCGACTCGTCAGTTTTGGATATTTGAAAGGTGGTAACAGGTGGTGGTTACTAGATAAAAATACGGCGTATTCTATTTCTTCCCCTTGATACTCTCCCTTATACAATTTTTCTAACATTAGGCTGTGACTTTAGTTAAACGAAGTGTCCAGTTGTGACTTGGGGGAACTGTATCAAACACATTACGCTCACGCTATCTTCACGTGATTTGACGTCAGGAAACTATTGCACCCGCACACAATGACAGCTTGCGCGTGATTCAGCTGTGTTGCCTATCAGAAGATGTAACAACGCTCATTACGATACTGTTGATACATCAAAACAAGATTACTTCGTCTAATATATATGGTATCTGCTCTATTCACATACGTAATAAAACAGATAGAATTTCGTGGTCAAAATTAACGCGATTTTTTAAAAATGTAAACGGCTTTTGTTTGTAGTTAAGCGCAAAGCTACACGATGGGCTATCTGTACTGTGCCTACTACGAGTATCGAAGCCCAATTTTCAGCTTTATAAGCATTCAAACTTACCGTTAAGCCACTGAGTGGAGGGGCTATAAAGAGCTAGTCTAAATGGCTTTTGTACGAACTGTTCTTATTGTTACTGTTCGTTTTATGCAAAGCTATACAATCACCGCGAAGAATCGAACTCAGGATTTTAGGGTTGTACGTCCAGAAACCAGGGGGACATATATATATATATATATACGCACACGCAGTATACAATATATATATATATATATATATATACAATATATATATATACTATATATATATATACTAACAACAAGAAGAAGTAGTA